CAAAGCCTTGACACCCTGCACCCATGCGGAGAGCTGGAAGGAGCTCCTGGCTCCTGGCTTCGGATTAGCAGATCAATGGATGGAAGATCTTCTTTCTCTCCTCTTCTCTGTATATCTGACTTTCCAATAAAAATAAAATAAATCTTAAAAAAAAAGGAAAGAAAACTTAGGTAACTGAAACAATACTTGGAAATAAAAATCTGTTAAAAATTTTCAAAAAGTTGATAATATTGAAAAAGTTCAGGGCCCAGGGTGGTGGCCTAGCAGCTAAAGTCCTCGCCTTGAATGCACCAGGATCCCATATGGGCACCGGTTCTAATCCCTGCAGCTGTACTTCCCATCCAGCTCTCTGCTTGTGGCCTGGGAAAACGACTGAGGACTTTGCAATGATTGCAATTTTTGTCCGTTTTCTGATTTTAATGTAAAGGGATATAATTGATTTTTTTTTTTAGATTTATTTATTTTTATTGCAGTCAGACAGAGAAGAAGATCTTCTGTCCAATGATTCACTCCCCAAGTGACTGCAACGGCCAGTGCTGCGCCAATCTGAAGCCAGGAGTCAGAAACTTCCTCTGGGTCTCCCACATGGGAGTAGGATCTCAAGGCCTTGGGCCGATCTTGACTGCTTTCCCAGGCCACAAGCAGGGAGCTGGATGGGAAGTGAAGTTGCTGGGATTAGAACTGGTGCCTGTATGGGATCTCGGCACGTTCAAGGTGAGGACTTTAGGTGCTAGGCCACTACGCCAGTCCCCCCCCCAAAAATAAATAAATCTTAAAAAAAATAATAATAACTAAAGAGCATCTCCCAGAGGGAGAGGAGGATGTATTCTTACATTCTTAAAATTATATCTCTGAACTACATTGAATCTGTTCTGTTTGCATTAATATCACATTAACATGAGAACTGTGTTGTGGTAATTAGTATGTATTTGCTGGAACCCTGAGATAAATTCCTTAAGAGAGAGAAAAATCTCCTGGAAATGAAGGATGTCAGTTTCAAGATGGAAAGGGCCCATCAATTGGGTAACACAATAAATGAAGATACATTACACAATGGCATTTTCTATGACAGTTTAGAACATTGACCACAGAGAGATGAGCCTAAGTAGGAGTAGAAAATTGGCCACATATAAGGTTTAGCAATGGGTCAGTGCCAGGGCATATTGAACGAAGCCGTCACCTGTGCACCAATATCACATATGGGTACCAGTTTACGTCCCAGCTACTCCACCCTTCTGATCCAGCTCCTTGCTAATGGACTGGGAAAGTGGCAGAGGATAGACCTTGGGCCCCTGCACCGGTGTAGGAAATCTGGAAGAACTTCTAGCTCCTGGCTACTGATCAGCTCAGCTCTAGCCATTGTGGCCATTTGAGGAGTAAACTAGCATATGGAAAATCTACCTCTTCCTTCTCTCTTCTCTCTCTGTGAATTTGCCTTTCAAATAAAAACAAATCTTTTTTTTTTTTTTAAGAATTTATTTTTATAGGAAAGGCAGATATACAGAGAGGAAGATCTTCCGTCCAATGATTCACTCTCCAAGCGGCCACAACGGCTGGAGCTGAGCCAATCCAAAGCCAGGAGCCTCTTCCAGGCCTCCAAAGCGGGTGCAGGGTCCCAAAGCTTTGGGCCATCCTCGACTGCTTTCCCAGGCTACAAGCAGGGAGCTGGATGGGAAGTGGGGCCACTGGGATTAAAACCGGCGCCCATATGGAATCCCAGGCCTTCAAGGTGAGGACCTTAACCACTACACCATCGCGCCGGGCCCAACAAAAACAAATCTTAAAAAAAGAGAGAGAGGGGACCGGCATAGCATCGGCCATTGCGCTCACTTGGGGAGTGAATCATTGGATGGAAGATCTTCCTCTCTGTCTCTCCTCTCTGTATATCTGCCTTTCCAATAAAAAAATAATAATAAAAAAAATAAATAAAATAAAATAAAAAAAAAGAGAGAGAGAGAGATAGATCAGGCCTGACATGGTAGGCTAGTGGCTAAAGTTCTCACCTTATGGGCACCAGATCTAATACTGCTGGTCCCACTTCCCCTCCAGCTCCCTGCTTGTGGCCTGGGAAAGCAGTCAAGGATGGCCCAAGACCTTGAGACACTGCATCTGTGTGGGAGACCCAGAAGAGGCTCCTGGCTCCTGGCTTCAGATCAGCACAGCTCCGGCTGGTTGTGGCTTCTTGGAGAGTGAATCACTGGACGGAAGATCTTTCTCTCTGTCTCTTCTTCTCTGTGTGTATATGACTTTTCAATAAAAGTAAATAATAAATCTTAAAATAAAAAAATCTTAGAAAAGATCAGCGATCAGAATAGCACTACATGCTGAAAATTAGAAAAAAATGTTTAAAAAAAGAGAGAGAGAGAGAATGTAACAATGCCTTAAATGCTGAGGAAGACTATTTTGTACAACTAGCCACACTGTCAACCCTGTGGGGAGAGGCTGATATTTTAAAACATGCAGAACCTCTGCGGACTTACCACCTGTGTAGACTTTCTCAGATTGCTCTTGGAGGGAGAGCACCACTCACCTAAATGAAGGAGAGAATGAAGAAGGATATGGGGTCTAAGAAACCAGGGATGCAGCCCAGCAAATGGGCATAGGGAGCCTCCAGGACAGAAGTGACGGGAGGTCCCTGGAAGACACCGGGCAGCAGCAGCACACTGGGAGCAGATGAGCAGCTAAGAACATGCCTCACCAGAACGCACCTGCTGTGTTTGAAAGCCCCAAGCGGGAAATTCAGACAGTGGGGGCAGAGTTGGCAAGTGGTGTTTTCAGAACTACGTCACAAAGTAACCAAAATAAATAATTGTTCTATGGAGAGTATGAAAATGTGGGCAGATGTTAAAAAAATCACTGTGGTAAAGGACATAGGCTTACCTGGGAATATCCCAGTAAGGAAACACAGAATGATTATATTGTTGGGAAGAGGAGATGAGGTGATGGGAAGGATTTCCATATGGAAACAGAGTAAGAAGGGGGATAAAAGACAATGCGAGCTCTAGAAATCAAGTAGCAATTTAAGTATGGCATTTGGAGATTAGGAGGTAGAAACCAAAATGAACAATTAAAAAATGGCTAGTTGACTTCTGGGATTTGGGATATAGGCGAGAGGGGGAGGAACTGTTACTGGTCACAGTCAACCTTGTAGAACTATTTCCCTCTTGGCGTATGTCTATGACTTTGATTAAAAGCCACACTTCAGCTAAATGCAAAAAGCCATGTTGTGGCAGGGGCTTGGGCCCACAAGGGAGTAGGCTATGGGTGGAGCCCTGAGGATGCCAACTGCCAAGCTCCCCTGCACTCCCGTGGAGAGAGCCAGCTCCGCAGAACTGAGCACCTGAGCTCCTGAGCCAAGTGGGATGGGTTCAGGGTTTTGTCCTTGAGCTGCTGGGGACCCTGGAGATTCCCCTGTGCATCCAGTGTGGACTGGGAGCCAGGGGTGTGGTGGAGTTAGGTCCTGAATGGCAGCCAGTAGGATTCTGACTACTGAGCTCTGGCCAAACCTCCCCTCCTCCAGCACCTGCTACTAATAGCCTGGAGAGCCCCAGGCTAGCAGGTGCATTTTCTCCGTTTTCCAGCTCCCTCATCCCTTGCTTCCTCCCCATTAACTCTTTGGTCAGACTAGCCTACAGCTGTCTGTGAATATTATTGGTAAATCTGGCTTGGTTCAGTAGGTAATACACTGAATATGAAATTCAGAGCTCAATAGGACTAGGCTTTTAGAGTTTTGTATTTAGAAATTTATTTTTATTTGAAAGGAGGATTTATAGAGAGAAGAAGAAACAGAAAGATCTTCCATGTAATGGTTTACTCCCCATGTGGCAGCAAAGCCAAAGCTGAGTCTGTCTGAAGCCAGGAGCTTCTTCCAGGTCTCTAACGTGGGTGCAGATTCCCAAGGACTTGGGCCATCCTCTACTACTTTTCCAGGCCATAAGCAGGGAGCTGGATGGGAAGTGGAGCAGTTGGGACACAAACTGGTACCTATATGGGATTTCAGCACTTGAAGAAGGATGATTAGCCTGTTAAACCATGGCACCAGCATCTTTTTTTAATAATAATAATAATAAACACACACATATATGTGTATTTATTTGAAAGGCAGAGTTACAAGAGGGGAAAAAGAAAACGTGAGAAGCTGCAAGAGAGAGATCTTCCATCTATCATTTTACTCCCCAAAAGACCTCTCAACAACTGAGACTGGGCCAGGCTGACACCAGGAGCCTGGAACTCCATTGAGGGCTCCCATATGGTGGTAGGATCTAAAGTACCTGGGCCATATTTTGTTTCTTTTCTAGGAGCATTAGCAGGGAGCTGGATCACAAGAGGAGCAGTTGAGACTGGTCCAAAGCTTTGGGACCCTGCAGCCACATGGAAGACCCAGAAAAAGCTCCTGATTCCTGGTTTCAGACTGGTTCAGCTCTGGCTGTTGTGGTCACTTGGGAAGTGAACCAGCAGATGGAAGATCTTTGGGAAGAACCAGCAGATGGCTGTCTGTCTCTGTAAATAAAAAATAAAATAAAATAAAATAAATCTTTTCCAATAAAAATAAAATAAATATTTTTTAAAATTTAAAATAAGCAGGTCATATAGCTAATAATTGGTAAAGCTAAATAAACCTTTTCAACTTTTTTTTGAGAGTCAATGCATGTGTATCAGATTAAGTTCTACATGTGTTGGTTCACTACCCAAATGGTTTTGGACCATCTACTGCTTTCCCAGACTACAAGCAGGGATCTGGATGGGAATGGAGCAACTGGACACAAACTGGTACTCATGGGATACCGGTGGATGTAAGGCAAGGATTTAGCCACTAGGCCATCATGCTGGGCCCTGAGAGCTGAAATTTTTAAGCAGTAGTCTGGTTCTCTGAAACTCACACCTCAGACCATTCTATCACCACAATTCTAAAAGTGAAGCACAGTTTAAGGCCTTTGGATAAGGTGGCAAACCCTGTAGCCTCACACCTGGAACTAACTGCTTCTCTCACTTCCCCCCAGGCTTGCCTGCGAGCCATTGATGTGAAGATCCTGCAGCAGCTGGTGACCTTGAATGAGGGCATCGAGGCAGTGCGCTGGCTGCTGGAAGAGCGGGGTACCTTGACCAGCCATTGCAGCAGCCTCACCAGCAGCCAGTACAGCCTGACTGGTGGGAGCCCAGGCCGCTCCAGGCGAGGCAGCTGGGACAGCCTGCCGGATGCCAGCTCTGCTGACCGACTGGACAGCGTCTCTATTGGCAGCTTCCTGGACACAGTGGCCCCCAGTGAGCTGGATGAACAGGGTCCCCCTGGCGCTCCCCATCCTGAGCTGGACTGGGCAAAGGTCCTGCCCGGTGGAGAGAGGGCCAGGACGGAGGTGGACCTGACAACCACCAGGCTGGGGAGCTTGGGCGCCCTGTGGAAGCCCCCAGGGGAAGGGCTCCACAGCGGACCACCTGAGTCACCTGAGGAGGGGAGTGCCGCCGAGCTGGGCTTTGAGACCCACTGGTACTGGGGACAGTGCCAGGATGATGTGACTTTCTTGTAATTGCCCCTCCTCTTACCCGTAGTCTAGTCCTGTTGCTCTTTTTCCCTCTTGGCCCTGATCTCCCTCAGCCTGGGACTAGGCAGCAGGTGCATGGAAATCACCATGGAGACCGGCCTCCCTATCACCCTTGTCCCTAGGGAGCCTCTGACTTTTTTTAATCTCTTAATTACTGGGTCCCCAGAACTGCTTCCATAGAGATGTTGACACTGGCGACTTGGCCTAGGGTTCCTGTTAGAGGACTTGGGAGGCTGTTTAATCCCTCTCTGCCCCTGCTGGGCAGGGATTCAGGAATTTAGGAGCCCCTCCCTGACACAGGGGATCACTGGGAACTACTGCGCCGAGAGTCTGAAAGCCTTGACCCCCACCCGCATCCTCACCTCCTGGCCAAGCAGGTGGACTGGCATGATTGAGGAGGAACAGGGACTTTCAGGTTCAACCCTCCATGGATTGTCCCTCCCAGAGGCCTTTGGGATGATGACCTCACTCTTTCCTACTTGTTGAATGACATCATTTCCCACCAGGCCAAATTTTAACCCTTCCTCTGTTCTAGTCCTGGGAGGCATGAGGTCAGGGTAGCAGGGTTTGAGGTCCAGATGCCAAGGGAGACTATGCCATTTGCTGTTCACACTATCACTTCTTGTGAGGGAGAACAGGCAGGAAAGTGTCTCACAGAGGTTTTTGCTGCTTTGCAGAAGTTTTTTGCTTTCTCTTTTTTATTTTAATTTGAAAGGCAGTTTTACAGAAAGATTTTATATCAACTGGTTCACTCCCAAATGGCCACAGTGACCTGAGCGGAACCAATCTGAAGCCAGGAGTTTCCTCGGGTTTCCCATGTGGGTGACAACAACCCAGGTACTTGGGCCATCCTCCACTGCTTTCCCAGTCCTTTAGTAGGGAGCTGGATGGGAGGTGGAGTAGCAGGGATCCGGTTATATAAATATTTATTTTCTAAATTGGAAAGGCAGATATACAGAGACAAGGAGAAACACAGAGAAAGATCTGTCTGTCTGCTGTTCCACTCCCCAAGTGATGGAGTAACTTGGCCTGAGCTCAGCTGATCTGAAGCCAGGAGCTTCTTCCAGGTCTCTCATGTGGGTGCAGGATTCCAAGGCTTTGGGCCATTCTCTACTGCTTTCCCAGGCCACAAGCAGGGAGCTGGGAAAGTGGAGCAGTCGGGACATGAAGTGACACCCATATGAGATCCTGACGGTTGCAAGGCAGATTTAGACACTAGGCTATTGCACTGGGCTTGATTCATATACATATATATATTTTTTTAAACCCAGGTTCTTCAGTCTCCCTCCTCTGTGGGGCAGCCCTGACTGCTCCCTGAACTCCTATCCCTGAACTTTGTGGGTAAGAAGTCTTCAGCTTTGGCTCTTAAGTCTGCTTGATTCATTCCCTTCCCCTTGCCCTACCTCACCTGACCTGGCCCCGGTCTTACCCCGTCCCTGGCTCTGTTCCTGTGTTCTGGCCTTCACACAGAGAAGTTCATTTTGTATACCTCCACATTGTCTGTTTCCTCTTTAGGCTTTTTTGATGCCAGTTAGTCCTGGCCCCCTCCTCCTACTGTTGAGGGGAACCTGGGAGGAGGGAGCCCTGAGGTCTCCGGACTCTGGTGGTTGTTGGGGAGTATTGTCATGCTCTCTTAGTCTGAGACTACCCTTCCCCCACCCTGTCCCCAGCCTCCTACCACTTGGTCACAAGGATGACTGCCTGAGATTGGCACACAAGGAATCTCCTTGTCTGGGCCACAATGTGGGGGTGTGGCAGGGAAAGACAGAGGCTCTTTGGTTCCTGGCCCCATCCTGAAGGGGGTGGGGCAGACAGGGGAAAGGCACTTTCCCTCCACACTCAGAGCAAGCCCTTGGCCCCTAGACCTGGGGAGGAAGCAGGGAACTGGCTCTGGGCTTGGGTCCCAGGGCTTTAGCAAGTGACACCAAAGCAGGAATTTAGGAAAACTGCCAATTTGGGGCTCAAATACTAGATGGGTTGGGGAGGGGCAGGATAGGTCAAAGATGGTGGCAGATGACAGAGTGAATTCTTGGAAACTAACCTTTGAACCCTAGGTAACCACCCTGTGAATTGGTGCCTGTCTTTCTTGGGCTCTGCAACTCCTAGAAGGAAGAAGGGGGTCCTCTGACTGTTCTTCCTCTTAAATTGATAGGGTCTCCCCCAATGCTGGGAAAACTCTTTCTGTTTCCCAACTTTTCATTTTGCACTGGGGTGGGGAAGCTAAGGTGATCATCTGTACTTCCCCTGAACTCAAGTCTTGATTGGCATCTCCCACCCTAATGCTTCTGGGTGTGGGGCAGTGCATTCAATGCATGGCAGTCCCCCAAGACCTTTCTCCCCCACCCATCCTTTCAGAGTACTGGGAAAATGCCAGCTGTCTACCTGCCAACCCTTGTGATGTCGAGGCTCTGGATCACCCTTCAGGGGGGCATTTGAGCTCTTTATTCCTAATCCCTCTGCAGTAGCCACCTGGTTGTGTGCCTTTAGATAGAATCCCTTCATCTCTCAAGTCATTGTGTTCTTGTTTGAGGTTCACACCTTCTATGTAGAAGCTGTTTTGCCTCCTTGTGGTCATTATTCACCATTGCCTGGGTTGTTGACATTTAACAATGCAGCCTTCTAGAAAACCAGCTTCCTCAGTACACAGAGACGTTAGATCTCAAGAGGGCATGCCCATTGTAAATCTGGAGAAAATCCATACTGCATGCTTCATCGCTTTGCCAGGAGGTTACCAGTTAACAACACAGATGCCCCCAAATGGACTGAAAGCAGTTTTCCCCATTGGAGTGTCCTAGGTGTCACCCCACCCTGAAGAGGTAGCTCAGTCTTTAGAGAAAGAGTTGTAGGCTCTGAGGAAAGGATAGTTGGGCCTGGACTGGAAGGACAGTCAGATAGTCTGGATCTTAGATGATTAAAAATCAGTTCCAGAGCCGACTGATTACTTGGGAAGACCCAAGTGGGTCCAGACTGGAGGTAAGAAAATGGGGTAACTGTGAGACTGAGTGGGGCTTGCAGAGTTGGGGGGCTGGGCAGGCAGGGCCACTCTGGTGTGTCTTCCTTTCTGATTGCCTTACACTCAGGTTCACTGCTAGGCATCCCAGGAACCCCACCCAAGACTCATCCCTGGTCCTTCCTTCCTGCCTCTAGATTGGCTGGTGGAGGTTCAGCTCTGCCATGAGCTTGGTGTTTTCTGAGTTATGGGGAAAAGGGGTGAACAGGCATAAAGATGAGATGAGATGAAAACAGTGTTGAGAATATGACTGGGAGAGCATCCTGCTGTCCACTCATGCTGGGGCCTTTGTCAGGGCCAGGGTCAAGGCAGGGAAGAGGCTGCCCATAGCAATTATGGAGCAGTACCTGGGAGGATGAGAGACAGTGCTGGTCCAAATGGGTCTATCAGGGGACAGGAGACCAGTGTGAGTGGGCAGGTGTTAACTAGGGCCTGAGTTTGGAATAGGGCAGTGCAATTGAACTTCCATAAAAAGCGTTTGGGGTTATGGCAGATGTGAGCTAATTGCGTGCGTGGTACCAGGCACCCACTGGGTATTCAGTTACACACTATACCTCTTCCATAAACACATGTGTGGAAACCCATAAGGAAATGTGACTTGGTAAAACAAACAAAAAGAAGTTGGGCATTTATGTATGTGATTTGAAGCACTCTGCTTAACTCCCACTGTCCCCATAAGCAGTGCATTGTTATCTCTGTACTGTTCTTAGGAATTCGCTCAAGGTCAGATAGGTGGCAAGTGCACCCTGCAGTGGAGCTGGAGTGCAGGAGCCCTCCAGGATGAGGCAGGCTTCGTGCTCCTAGAGGATAAGTCCCTGCCAGCTGGGAGCACTGTATTCCTCTCTTCTTGCTGGTGGGACAAATTACCACCCGCTTAGTGGCTTAAAAACCAAACTTCTTATCATTGTAGAGGTTCTGAAATGAGCTTCACCATGGCAAAGCGCTTACACACCCTGGGACAGAATCTATGTCCTTGTTGCTTCCAGCTCCTAGAGGTTGTTGGCAGTTCTTAGATCTCCAAAGCCAGCAGCACAGCTTCCTCTCTCCTCTCTATCCTCTGCCTTTCTCCCGCTCTCTGATCCTACCATCTCCCTCTTCAAGAATTACATTGTGATGACATATCCTGCCATTGCATTGGGCTCTCCACATCTCAAGATTCTTAAGTACATCTGCAAAATCCCTTTTCTTTAGGGGAAAATAGTCTCAAGCCCTGGGGACCAAGGAATGCAGTTCCTCTGGAGAGGGGCTGTGACTCCACCTGCCACAGACATGGGGCTGCACCCAGGTATCTATGCAATTGGGTGAGCCTCAGCTTTATGTAGCCTTCCTCAGCCTGGAGCGAGGGATGCTGCCAAGCCAGGGAATGGCAGGTGCAGGCCTTTATTTGCATCATTGCACCATTCAGGTCAGACCTAGGAGAGAGTCCCAGGATAGTGGCCTGTTTGGGTCCAAGACGTTCGTGGTGGTCATGGTGGAGGAGTCCAGTGGGCTTGTGTCCCTTCCAGAACCCCATGCTGTGCCATTCCAGGGAACACTGGGTTTGCTGTCTCCTTTTAAACCTACCATTCTGTAGCCCTTTCATAGTGAAACCATATTCCACACAGCAAGGTGACCAGCAGCAGCAGCCGAAGCTTTGGTTTTGTGTTTGGATTCCTGATCACTGTTCTCATTCCACTGCTTGACACAGGCATACACTCCAATGTGGCTGCGTGTGTGTGAATGTTTGTCTCTGAGAAAGTATGTAATTATGTGCTTATATATTATATAAAAGAGATATTTATGCTTTTACAAGAGTCTAACTTCTGCAATGAACTGTCCCTGTATCTCAGTGATTCAGCACAATAAAGTTTATTTTTTACTTATTCCAGACAATGCACATTCTTTTTTTTTTTAAGATTTATTTATTTATTATTGGGAAGTCAGATATACAGAGAGAAGGAGGAGAGACAGAGAGGAAGATCTTCCGTCCGATGATTCACTCCCCAAATGGCCGCAACACCCAGAGCTGAACTGATCCGAAGCCAGGAGCCTGCAACCTCTTCCAGGTCTCCCACGCGAGTGCAGGGACCCAAGCACTCAGGTCATCCTCCCTCAACTGCTTTCTCAGGAGCCTTAGCAGGGAGATG